AAGGACATAAAGGGCTTTAATTTGATGTAACATATATATATATAAATGCTTATTTATTATTTAAAAAATACAGAAAAATGCAAAAAAAGAAAAATTTTGTGTTTTTTTGTACAGTTTTTGCAATAATAATGTGTGCCTAATTAGTGCAGGTTAAAGAAAGTAATTAAAAATAAATTTATTTAGTTGTTCTGATTTACAAAATATATAATGTGTCTGGGATTTAAAGTTTTTTTTGGTAGTTACAGGTCATAAAGCACAAGGAGTAAAATAAACTTTAAATGTAGAGCGATTTTAGAATTTTGTATGTTTGTCTTGTAAGCTTAATAGCCATAAAAGAAAACAAAATTGCCACACAAATGTATATATTTATATAAAGTAGACATCACAGGCTATTGTCCTAAGGTTTTTTTGACACTTTCTAAGTAGCCATTTCACCGCCAATCTCTGCTAAATATTGGAGTAAAATTTAGTTTTTTGGAGTTTTTGGCACACAAACTTATAACAAAGAACTTCCCATGTATATTTTGTAAAGTTGGTGTGTGCTATTCCTGTACAAAGTTATATTTTGTGTTCAGTTACTTCTGCTGAGTACAACGATACCCCCATTGTATGTCTTTGGCACTATTTCGTGAAGCTACAGTGCCATATAGGAGACCTGTCCGTTTCAACATTTACAGTAGAATTTTGAGAGGCGGATTTAATGGGCCTATGCTTCAATTTGGGGTATTATAGCAGTTTGACTGTTCAAAAAAAAACCACAAAGGCCTACCATTTATAAAAGTAGACACTCCAGGGTATCTCATATAGTGCATATTGTGCCTTAACATGCCCCCATTTTTTCACCAATATATGCCAAAGTATGTGGTAAAAAATAATTTTGGGCATTTTTTACATACGGATTACATTTTTGCTGGGCATTTTGTACATTTCATATGTGCCACTAAGTTCAAACCCCACAAATTATGCTCAGCTAAGTCTTCTGAGTAAAACAATATGCCCAATGTATGACCTAGACACTATTTTGTGAAGTTACACTGCTATAAAAGAGACGTAACAAGTTAAGGTTTTTAAGTGTGAATTTTCATGGAGGGTTTTGATGCGTCCGTGCCCACTTTAGAGCACTTGAGCAGGCTACATATTACAACTACACCATAAAGGCATACCATTTCTTAAAGAACACATCCCAGGGTATTTCAAAAGGCATATTTTGAACCTTAGCGTGGGATAATTTTTCCGCTAGCTTGTACCAAGTGTAATGGTAATAAGCGTTTTTTTGCCTTTTTGACACACCAAGTAAATTTGCGCAGTACATTTTGCAAATCTTATGTGTGCTACGACTGTATAATACTTCATATGTTGCTCAGCTATGTCGGCTGAGTACATCAATACCCCCGTATGTACCTTTGCCAGGTATATGTGGACATCGGAGGAGCACATTTGGGACACAGCCATTCCAGTTCATTTCAAACTTTAAATTTTTACACTGTTCCCATGTCCCATTTTAGAGTATTTTACCAGGCTATATAATCCAAATACCCCATAAAGCCATACCATTTCTTAAAGAAGACATCCCAGGGTATTTCAAAAGGCATATTTTGAACCTTAGCGTGGGATCATTTTTTCGCTAGCTTGTACCAAGTGTAGTGGTAATAAGCATTTTTTCTGCCTTTTTGACACACAAAGTGAGTTTGCGCAGTATATTTTGCAAACCTTATGTGTACTACGACTGTATACTACTTCATATGTTGCTCAGCTATGTCGGCTGAGTACATCAATACCCCCGTATGTACCTTTGCCAGGTTTATGTGGACATTGAAGGGGCACATTTGAGACACAGCCATTCCATTTTTTTTAAACTTTGAATTTTTACGCTGTGTCCATGTCCCATTTTAGAGTATTTTAAAAGGCTATATCATCCAATTACACCATAAAGGCATATCATTTCTTAAAGAAGACATCCCAGGGTAATTCAAAAGGCATATTTTGAACCTTAGCGTGGGATAATATTTCCGCTAGCTTGTACCAAGTGTAGTGGTAATGAGCATTTTTAAATGTATTTTTTACTTTGTAAAACTTTTTTTACTTTGTAAAACCCATTTTTAAACTTTTTTTTTTACTTATTAAATGTTTTACACTATCTTAACTTTTTTTACACTTTTAATTTTTTTCTAAACTTTTCTTTTACCGTTAACCCCTAACTAGCAGTAAGCAGCACTAACCGTAAATTCCCCATTTTCCCATAACTCCCACCCACCCCAGCTAGCAAAATATTTAATTATAAAATATTTAAATTAATTAATTAAATAAATGGAACCCCTGAGGGTTAAAAAAAATAAATAAAAGTTAATCCTCAGGGGTTAAAAAAATTAGATCACAGTATAATACTGTGATCTGTATTTTGATCACTGTAGGCAGTGATCAGCTGGCAGGGAAGGGGTTAATTTTTATTTAGACTGGGTAAAGGGGGTGGTATTTTTTTTTTTTTACTTAAACGTTACTAAAACATTTAAAAAAAAATTTTTTTTTACCTTTTTAAAGCTTATTTTAAAACTTTTTTTAACGTTAACCCCTAGTTAGCCTAACACCAAATTCCCCAATTCCCCACTAACTTCCACCCATCCCAGCTAGCTAAATATATAATTTTTTAATATTTAAATTAATTAATAAAATAAATTTAACCCCTGAGGGTTAAAAAAAAAATAATTAACCCTCAGGGGTTAAAAAAAAAAAATCAGATGACATTAAAATGTATACCCTGCCAATTGATCACTGTAGTCAGTGATCAATTGGCAGGGAAGGGGTTAATTTTATTAAAACAGGGGCAGGGGGGGTGGGATTTAACTTTAATTTATTTATTTTTTTACACAGGGAAGCAGATCAGCACTGATCCGTCTCCCTGCACTTCACACAGAACCCGGAAGTGCAGGGAGGCGGAAGGTGAGTATGTGGAGCACATGTGCTCGCTCTGACATGCTGCCACCGGTGCTGGGGCAGCCCGATCGGGTGCTCCCGGTCTGCCTCTAATGCAGAGGCAGACCGGAGCACCGTTAACCCCGCGATTGCCGCAATCGCGGCGATCTGGGGTTAACTTAAGAAAATGACGGAAATTTTCCGTCAACGGTCCTTAACTGAAGGACAAGGTTGACGGAAAATTTCCGTCCACGGTCGGGAAGGGGTTAAACCCCGTATTGGGGCTAATTCATTGCTTTATGTTCTGAATAAAGTAACTGTTTTGGAAATGCATGTGTGCCAAATCTTTTGTTTTGCTTTTGTTTCTAACCTTCTGGATTGCCATCCTTGTACTGCATAACAAGTAAAACATATCCCTGTCCATTTGGTGAGAACCATCTCATAGGCTGCATTAGCAATGCCATTACATAATGCAGCTGTTTGGTGTAACTGTATTAACTATATGGTGACATCAGGGACTGACTGGCAACTTTTGCCCAAAGGGGCAAGTATTGTTATTGTTATTTACTTGTTATGTGTTAAAAACACACAAAAATAGTTTTTTTAATTCTATACTGATCGAGACCAAACAATATGCAATCTTCTAATATTTCTGTATAAGATAAAAATACACCATATTTATATAAACATAAAGCTTGTGTACATTATATTATTGTAGATATACATATAGTATATTTTAAAGCTAAGTAGGATTTTCAAATCTGAGTTTTAATTTAAACAGATTTTTCAAGAAAATTTTATGGTGAAACATTTTTTGGACAGCCACACAGAGTAAAAAATAGCTTTCCACACATCCAGGAATATCATAACCAGTGTAAGATGAAAAGTGAATTGAAAAATACATTTAGAAAAGCATCTGAAAATATAAAACGTTTGGACAGCCAAACATATGATAAACTCAAATTACTTTACTTGTACAACAGGACAGCATTACAGTCAGATGAATCAAACACATATCTTAGCTTTAAGACTCAAGTTTCTATCTCACTATTGTATGGAATATGGAATACATTAGAGTATAAGATAAATACATATATATTATTTCCATATACTATGTACCTGCAATTTATCTGGCTCAAACCACAATGAGAACCAAGTTGCAGACGTTTCAGCACCAAGGAGAGCAACAGATGTGTTTCTGCTTAGTGTTCGATTTTTTTCTGTAAGCTTCCTGTGTAAACCGACTTACAGCTTGTATTCCACAACCAAAAAAAAAGCTATGTATTTCAAAGATTTCTTTTTGGGGTTCTGACACAATAATTTCCCAATCTTCCTTTCCTCACTCACAAGATATATTAAACGTATAACATATAAGGAAACAGCTAATTACAGAAGTCAAATTTAAAGGGAGACTGACTGTCATTTCCCACGATTTCTAATATTATGTTTATTTATCTGTGAGGTGCGAATAATAAAATTAAATGTAGAAAGCATACAGTGAAGAGGAGAAATAAAATAATGCTTCTATTTCTCCTCTTTATTTGCAATGTTTGCCCAACTGGACTATGAAGTTATTTGCTAACTCTTTCATATACATTTAAAAGGGAGTGGGGCATCACACAAAAAACAAAAAACATTACAGGTTACCAGTTACAGGTGATTTTTTAGTGATTTATTCAGTGGTTCCAGAGAAGTGACAAAATAAAATAGTATCTGTATACTAAATAAACACTGCAGCACCATGTGCCTATGTCAGACTAAGTTGCAAAAGTGATGGTAGGAGCCGCACTCAATCCCAGCAGCCACCCTGTGCTCTGGAGTAGGACCAGCAATCCCACAATGGTAAGGCAACAAAGAAATTCCCCAGGCACTCAAGGTATTGAAGCTGCAGGCAGTTTTAATAATTTTTTGTTGTTTGTTTTTTGTTTCATTAAAACTACCTGCGGCTTCAACACCTTAAGTGCCTGGGGAATTTCTTTGTTGCATTATGTAAGACTAAGTAGCATGGACATAGAGTTTTAAAATACTTTGTTCTGTAAAGTTGAGGGAATGTAATTCTGCATACCGCCCACACTCGGTGATATATCACAAATGTGCAAGTGCTGGTGATTCATAATTACATGGTAATAATTGAATAAACCTTCTTCTATGGGATTGGCAATACATTTTACATGAGTTGCATGCTGATGCCTAGAATATAACTTTACACGTAGTAGTACGTATACATTTAACGTAAAATATTTAATTATTTTTATGTATATTTCTATTAAACTGTATTAACCTCTCAACTATTTACATTATTTAAATAATGTCAAAGTATAAAATGGCAGAGCATAATAAATAAATAAATGGGCATATTTAATGTACCAGTAAATGTATAGAATTAAAAAGAAAATTGTAAATTTTAGACCAAAATAGCCAAACTGGATAGTTGACCCGATTCAGCTATTTTTTTCAGTTTGTCTATTTTTCCCTATTTTATTTTGTACTATTTTCTTCTGAATTCACCAATTCCTAAATTACTGACAAGCTTATTTACTAAAGTGTGAATTCAAAGTGAATTCAGATTAATGATCAAATTTAAGGCCAGGGTAGCTGAAGTGGAAGCATGGCTGACTTGCAGGATTTTTTCAGTTTTGATATTTTGAACTTAAAATTTAAATTCACTTTGAATTCACCCTGATTTCTCACTTTAGTGAATTACCCCGTAATTAAAATAGAAAATAAGTTTGCTCACTAAATTTGGAAAAATTATGATATGAAAATGCAAAATTAGACAAAGACAAGACAAAACAACTCATTTGAACTTTTCACTTTACAAGAAATCATTGTATATTACTGATTATTTTTTGAATAAATTTCACAAATACTTTCTATGAAGTATAGAACTATAAGCAAGAATGCAAATTCTAGAAACCAAGAGTCATTTCAAGATGTTCAATATGCAACGTATTAAACAGCAATCTACAATAAGCATTCTGCTTGCATTTTCAATTGTTATTTCTATAAGACAGCTTCTATACACTGACTATGTTGCTGAATGTTAAAGTCAAAGTGGAGAGGGTTCACTGCAAGGGTGACTGGTCTAATTATGGACATAAGATTTAAAGCAACCTCTTCTGAATTCCAAACAAGTAATGCAGTACAGGGATTTCATGTTAAATCATGATATCTGAATGTTCTGCACCACTGCTACCCAGTAGGGAATAATCATTTCAGTACACCAAGCAAATATTTGACCTTTAAAAAATTCTGTCCCTCAATAACAATTCACAAGCATACTGTTTGTAATACGTAACTTAGCAGGGAAAGAAATGAGTGTGGTTAAGTCAGTAAAAAATAAATAAATAAATACAGAGAAAGAAAAGAGAAGAAAAGAGACACATGACTGGAAAATACATTTTAAACTCATACGTAAACAATAAAACATTTCAAGCTGATAAGTATAAAATTTTTTTTTTCATATTTTCATGCTGATTTAGTTTAGTGAATTGTTAATCATTCTCGGTTATCAGGGAAGCCAATTTGAAACCCTATTAGCCACTTTCAACATGCATAAAACAACTTTTTTTAGGATCTCCTTTCAGAGTTTAGTCAATAGATTGGACCTCTCTCTCACAGTTTAGTCAATAGATTGGACCCCTCTCTCAGAGTTTAGCCAATAGATTGGACCCCTCTCTCACAGTTTAGTCAATAGATTGGACCCCTCTCTCACAGTTTAGTCAATAGATTGGACCCGTCTCTCAGAGTTTAGCCAATAGATTGGACCCCTCTCTCACAGTTTAGTCAATAGAGTGGACCCCTCTCTCACAGTTTAGTCAATAGATTGGACCCCTCTCTCAGAGTTTAGTCAATAGATTGGACCCCTCTCTCACAGTTTAGTCAATAGATTGGACCCCTCTCTCAGAGTTTAGTCAATAGATTGGACCCCTCTCTCAGAGTTTAGTCAATAGATTGGACCCCTCTCTCAGAGTTTAGTCAATAGATTGGACCCCTCTTTCAGAGTTTAGTCAATAGATTGGACCCCTCTCTCACAGTTTAGTCAATAGATTGGACCCCTCTCTCACAGTTTAGTCGATAGATTGGATCTGCATCTAAGCAAAGCACAATAACACAAAATAATGGGTTTTGCTGTCTAAACATTAATTTGTTAGCCCAATGTAACAAACTTTACAAATCAACATACTTTAAGGAAAACTCAGTTAGTTGTTATGAGGTGAAATGAAAAAAATACCATAACAGTACAAATAATAAGAAAATGATTTGATAAGATTAACACAAGAAACATAGGTTTACTGGCAAACTAACAGAGTAATCTAGAATTATTACAGCAAAGACAGCTGTTACAGTAAAATAAAATTAAAGTGCAATCTGATTCAAGTACACAATTCTTACTTAGTGGATTAAACTCTGAAAGATGGGTCCAATTACATTTTTACTGAGACCCTACAGTGATTCTGAGACAATACCCTATAAACTATCTCTACTATAAAGGAACACTAAATAAAATCTCAGTCTCTTCTCAATTGACATGGCTCCTTGGAGAACACAGCAAAGGTACAAATAACTTATCCAAGTCCTTGCTGTCACCGTACCACTGAGGATTTTATGATATTTGTAGAAAAACACCACAAACATTTATAGAGTTGCCTGCTGGTAGCTCATTGGTTCTTAAATTAAGATTTCTAGTGTTACTGGAGCACTGTGCAGACATTTTCAAATTGCTTTTGAGAGTTAGAAAACATAACTCTTTGAAAAGATATATCTTAAATGGAATAAAGCAGACTGAATCAATCTCTTTCATGTCTATTGCGGTCACTAAAACAGCAATGCAGCGATCATGTACGACATCTAAAAAAAACAGAATTTAGCCATCAATGTGCAGTTAATGGATTGTTGTGCATTTGAGACTAGTGAAAGTCGTGTGTGAAATCAAAATGAAATGCATGCATTTTACAGTACTATGAAATCTCTTAGGAATTCTCTATCTTTGGCAACCCTAATTACATTCAGAAATAACAGAGGTTACATCTGATCCCATCACTGGCATCACTATCAGTTCACAAATTATTCTTTTCTATTAGAATATGACCTTTTATCTCTCAAGGGGTGTTTCCGCTAATGATACATATTACCAATTCTTAAGAATCAATTCACCAGCATGAGTTGAAAGTGGCATAAGTCATTAGATGTGTTACTTTTTCAAACTGTGAAAAATAACCTCTCTGCTATTTACTTCTTCTGTTCAAGGGCTGACTTCTAAATGTAAATCACTACGTCTAGTGCATGGTTTTTGCAGGTGAAAGTACTTGGTTAGTGCTTTAGTGGGAAAAACATAGCAGAAGTAGTTAATTATCCCCCATACAATGAAACATTTTCAACCATAGCCCCTTTCCTTTGCATAGTTAGGATTTAAATTTTAATGAAGAAAGAAGGGCAAGATCGCTGCCTAGAAAGTGGAGGAACTCAACTTGCTCACCTTGTTAATACTCGGGTCCTCAGGGCACCACAATGCTTTTTTGCAATACACCCACTAGTCACAAGATGGATTTAAGTGAAGTATTTTCATTGCTCCATTTTTATTGTTACTTTTATTGCTGGCATGCATGTTGTGCATAACATCATGTGTTACAAGAAGTTTGTTTTGCTGAATTAAGAAATTGAACATGTGGAACCATGACAAACCAACTTCAATATAGTTTCAATAATACATTGTACTGTATCATTCTAGTCAACTTAGTACATTTTGACCAGCACAGAAAAAGAAATGGTTTAGATTTGCTGGAAAAATTCAGATTTTGGGATGTTTACATATTTGATGGGTTTTCTCTTTTCTGGATCATTACTTGTTATCAATCCTAGAGATTTGACGGTTGTCCATCAAACGATTTGTAAGATAGCTTAGTGTCTTACCTTCTCAGAAGTAGTTTCGGATGGTTCTTGCTCTCCAGGTTCTTGTCAATGAGATCCGAGAGAAGCTGTTTCAGAACATCTGTAGCATATTCAAGTTTGCTTTGCAGCACAGTCATAATGAGTGAAGCAACGTTGCCTCTGTCCCGCATGGAAAAACTTCGCTGAGACTCCAGAGTTCGGATGAAGGACAGCAAAAACACTTTATTGTTAATCATTTGTGCAAACAGCTTGAGACCCTTCTCTACACGTTCCTGCCGATATCCAGGCACCTACAAACATAAGAGGACAAACTTTTACTTACAAACAAAATGGTGGGAACAAGTAAGAAAATGAGTGAACTCAAGGGTTAAATGCTGATTATTTTTCCATTGGCAAATGATCTTTATCCTGATCTAACAGGATGGAAAGTAATTTTTGCTTAGGTAATTTTTTCCCCAAAAACATTTAGAACATATTAGATTTGATCTATACACCAAACCTGTTTCATTAAGCTAAAGTGGTTTTGGTGCTTAGAGTGTCCCTTTAAATTAGTTTGCTTCTGGCCCCAGAACATTGTTATTTCATAATGAAGACATAGATGCTCATATCTATGAAGCTGCCATGAAACCTTAATTGTACTTTTCCATCTGTCAGCTATAATACTAATCTTCATTTCTTAATTGGCCGTAAGGTTGTTCTTTTAAACACTTTTAAAACAGCCATTCTTTAGTTGTAATTTTAACAATGATCATTCAAAAGCATTCCATAAGAGATGATGGAGTCAAGAGCCTTTATTTTTTTAAAGATAGAAACCTGTATTTCTAATCTACTATTGCTTATTATATCAGAAATATTATTAAACTTGAATAAAAAGAATACTAATACATCTTACATCTATCACATCATTTGTAGGTACTACCCCAGATTTAAATGCTCAGAATGATGTATTATACAAGAGGCATGCATGGCTTGGATGGTTTATATATGGGTAATATAATGTCCTAGACACAAAAGCCATGAATTCTATTTTACTCCATGTGTATTTAAATTGAATACAAAATTGCTTTATTGTTG